ATTAATTTGTCAAGATTAAGTAGAATAGTGAGTAGGCTTTTATTTAATTATGATGTGTCACATTCGGCACTTGCAGCCAACAAAACACATTATGTACAAACACATTATGTATACTGTGTATGGCTCACAAGATAAATTAAAGGTGTGGGTGTCTCCTGTTGTCTTTGGTCCTAATTACGCTCTTTTGTCGGGAGGACGTGAATTATTTCACACAGTTGGCTTGGTGATTTAATTTGAAGCAGCTGCATCAGTTGAGCTTCATGCATATGATGGAAGAATTCCCATTTATCTGTGTGTCTGTGTGTGTGTCCATTACCTGCAATAGAGAGCACAGCGTCAAAGCAGCCGTCTCTGTAAGGCAAGTGCAGCCCATCACACATCTGGACCTCGTGTCCTTGGCTCCAGGCAAAGTCCACCAGGGGGCGACACACATCGCAGCCCAGCTTAAACGCCTCTTTGTTGATGTGGAGATACTTGCCATTGCCGCAGCCTGCCAAGGACAAGACAGACAGCTACAGCACCAGTGACTGATCATTAAAGATTAGATCTGAAATACTTATTCTCTCTTTCAAGGAGAAGCCAGCTTTAGAACACCTTGCTGCATTTCCAAAAAATAAATGTATTAATGAACACGTGTCATGGGACTATCAAGACTATGTTAGAACTGAAGGTGACACCCACCAATGTCAGCGACAATGCTCCCAGGCTGCAGGTCCAGCATGAACTGTTGCACCTTTGGCCAGGCTTTATAGCGGCTATCATTGAAATATGGAGCAATCTTGTCATAGACACTGTGCACATGGTCTTTCTCGAGCTGGCTGGCAGCCTTCTCCATCATGTTTGTCCAGCAGCCTCACAGCATCACGCCTGCAGGGACAAAAACACATCCCTGCATATTTCAAAATGATAAATTCATCATATTGTTCCCATATTTCATTAGGAAAATCCAAAAATAGCGATAAGGAACCCATGAAGGGAAAAGCACAGTGGTGTTCCTCTACATGCTTGTTAAGATTTAACAAGGTCCAGAAGCAGCAACTCAAATCAGATGTTGTTTGCTATATTTTCCTCATTAACTACAGATTTAATAAACTTCAGGAGTGAAGCTAGAAACACGTAGTCTGCAAAGGATTATGAAATCAAACTGCTCATTCAAGTCTGCACAGTCAAATGTCAGTGTAATAAATTAACAGTTCGTTAACAACAGTATTTTTGCTCAGTAACTATTCTGACTGTCTTACACTGGCTGATGTCATGCTGCAAGAAAGCAAGTGATGAATTTGCTCATTATACGTTTTTTTGGAAAAGGGCAACTCTGAAAATCTAACTAAAATCACTACAGATGAATTAATTTTCTTCAGCTTTGTAAATATTTGCAGTTTGTACATATTTGCCTTCAAAACCTTGTGATGTTATGTGTGGGTTTGTTTTGCTTAAAATTACTGCATCACATGAAAATATGCTATGAAAGATAACCACACAGGCCAAATGAGAACTCTGCATACTGACATATTTTGTCTACAGTAACGGTGTTATCCTAGCATAGAAAATCTCTTTGTTCTTATAGAGCTTAAGGGAGCCACAGCAACAATATGGGAGCTGCGGGATGCATCCTAATAAACTGAGATGACTGCAGAGAGGGCTGTAAAAACAGACATAATATACCTTAGCCACCATTATGTATCAAAGGAAAAGAAATACCTAAGGAACAACAAGACCCGAACTAAAGCTGTAACCCACCTGACTGGCGTTCAGTTCCACTGAGTTGTCAGATGATGGAAAATAACGTAATCAGCCTGAAAATCGAGGATCACCTCATGTGAAAGTGATTCCTAGGCTGTGAGCTGGTGCTGAACTCTTCCATTGCTTGTGACACTGAATGAGATATAATACATAAAACCCAGCAGCAGCTCAGTGTCTGCTTATAGAGTGGATAAAATGGCCAATGAAACTCTTTGTGAAAGGAACACTATGAATGATGTTGTTTGCTTTGCATCTTGCTGCCAAAATGATTTATGTGTCAACCTTTTGTTTCTGCATTACCATAGAAACACTGCTGCTGTGGAAATGGGACGGCTTGTTAGTTAATTCATGACCCTGCTCCGGTTTTGTCACAGTTACAGGCAGTTGATGACAAATTAAATTGGATGATTTGCATTCATAGTGCTCAGCATCAGGGTGGATGTGAGCAGGGTTACTGATTATGACTGCAGCGGGTACTTCATGAAGCAAGTGGAAGCTTTGGTGTTAAATTACCACAACACTGTGCTTTTCCCTTCATGGGTTCCATAAAGCTGTTTTTGGACCTTCATAAGCAGCAAACCCCTCAAAACAAAATCACACAGAGCACATGAACAGTGCTTTGTCAGTTTCTTTGAATTCACTGACAGGGATGTGTTCAGGACTACAACACCAACCATTAATGGGCAATGTGACAAGATGTTCTGGTCCATGAGATACAGAGATTATTTGTTCTTTTGACTCACATGTGATGGATGAGAGGTGTCAGTGCCAACCCACCCCAACAGACATCACAAATCACTGCCATAAGTTACTATATATCAATGAGAGCTGTAAATATAACACACTTTTGACAAATATACTAGTCACCAGCATTTATGTTTATCTCCGATTGAATATTTAACTACAACCCATTTGAGGGCTCCATTCACTGTGTGATAATCTGCTGATTCTATGAGATATTGTTGCATAAAAACATTTAAAAGGCTACAGTGCACTCTGCTGATGAGGTTAACCAGAAGGAAAGCTATTAAACATCCCACCCACCCCATTTAAAAGGCTACAGTGCACTCTGCTGATGAGGTTAACCAGAAGGAAAGCTATTAAACATCCCCCCCTCCCCCCCCCTTACACACACACACCTCTCTTAAAACACAGACTGAAGCATCCCTGAATGTAATATACACTGCTGCCCATTGTGCACTAGTGTACACAGTCAATGCTGGACACACTACAGGATATTAGCAACAAATATTAACAACATATTTCTCTCTATAAAATAATTACCAGAGACATACCCTCTGCCTGCATACTCTGGCGGTGTACGCTGTGTGCAGCATCCTTCCCTCAGACCTATTTCTGGACCTCCATCAGCTGCATCATCCCAGCCAAGTGGAAGGAAAACATCCCTTATGTAACATTGTATTCTGACTGACTTCAGTACTATCTTCAATTCAGCCTGAGCTTCTCCCTCTGCTTAGTAATACTGTGGTAGTCCTCCACTGACATTATGTAACTGGCAGCTGGGGAGGTTCAGAGCTGCCTCTGACAGACAATGAGGACTAAAAATAAATCAAAGGGCAGAGACAATGTCTGGCACTCAGATTTGTTTCAGGTAATCGCATCTGGACTGGATAAATGTGGTCTTTTGTGAATGCATATAGCTTTTCAGGCAAATATCTAAAGAAGTTACATAAAAGATATTTTGGTCACAACCGTTTGCTTGCCCATAGCGCACAGCATTTACCTTTAAAACCCTCATTATTCGGGACATATCTAACTTTAAGCAAATGTTTCTGAACCTTGGAGCCAGACCTCAGCAGTGCTTTGGAGTGATTAGGGGTGTTATCCTGCCAGCAGCTGCTAACCGCTGCATGAGGAACCACAGAGAACAGGTTTACCCACCAAGTGTGTTGGCCGTTAATGACTCAACATCAACATGTGGTGAGAGGTCCTGCTCAAATTAGACTCTCTTCATAAAAGCCCATTGTTCTCACAGAGGACCTGGTGTGATGTTTTGTTCAAATATGGAGAAAATAATGGTCCCATGTTTGATGGTGTCAGGTTATACTGACAGAAATAATGGACAGACAAAATACAACTCGGTCAAATCAGAATCACTGAGTCTATGTAGCCTAATTTTTGGTCCATTCTGTGGAATTTGACCACACTTGCCCTGCATAGACTACTTCCTGACGTCCCATCAAAGTTTCTCAAATGGATGCAATTAAATCTAAATGAGAATGAATCAAAGGTCGGACTTGAAATGCATCGAAGCAAACAGAACGTATCTGACATAGGCTATTGCATTAACCGCTGGAACTGTGTCAATATTCGGACATCTTCTCCAGCATCCTTCTGCACCACCGATAATACATGCTCTTACCGTACAACGTGGAAGCCGCCGTGCAACTATCCGCATCAGGTGAACTTCCCTCTCTGCATGTGCGATTGATCTGATGTTATATGATCGATCTGCCATAAGGATGAAAGGCACGCGCGCCACACGGCGACACGGACATTACTAACAACATGGTGAGAATGGAAACGTGACAAAAGTATCTGCCGTGTGTGACGGTCAGCAGCGGCATCAGGTCCGTAGCATGTTAGAGCCTTACACCTGTCAAGGTGGTCAGTGTAGTTTAGGACTTCCGGTATCACATCTAAAAAATAAAGCCTCATTGGTTGGAGTGTGAAACAGTTGTCTACTATGTATCTAAGCTGTGCCCTCTGCCATAGTACCTGACTTTACTCAGTGTTAAGGCAATCATTGTATTTATATGAGTAAGTAGATCTAAAATACAATTAGCTCTGCAAGGTAGCCTACCTTTTCTATTTAAATAACCAACCCAGCACCCAAAGTAAGGGCGATGCATTTTACTAAGAAATGTCAGATAATTCAGGTCGTTGGGTAAAGAGCATCTTATCCTTAATGACAAGAAATTCATTTATAAACATTTTGAAGGTCACCCTAGACTAATGCACAGATTGGAGTGTGCAGATGTTGCTCCTATAATTGTAATCAAAAATAAAATAGAAACTACTGAACTACAAATTTAAATCACAAACAAAGTCCCTCGGCTTCGTAGGTGCCATAAGTTGGCTGCTCTATTACCTGAAAAACAAACTTTATCTGACAACCTATGTAAACAGTCTTGTTCTGTGCTGCTCTATTGATTGATTAGTTTTAATCTTTATTTTATTTCTCTCTTTGGCTGAATGAACACTTGTAGAAGTGATGAAGCTTTACATGCTTTACATAACACCAGAATTAGCCAAATGAATATAGTGAATTACATGATTTTGGTGCAATAAAAACCAAGGTGAAATAAGGAAAATGTACTAGTAATAATAACTTGATTAGCCTATATCACCATTGCATGCATTCATTGCAGCTATCATAGAGAATTCTATTCATTTTGGTCCCCCTGACCAGCATTCAGCCTACGCCACCCGCTTTTATTTTGAAGAGCATGTTCTAATGTCCTGTCTTATCATGGCTTCACTGACTGAGCTGATTGTTCCTTGATGTGTAAAAAGATGACACCCTGTGCGGTTGCAGAACACGGTTGTCATTGGCTGTCAGCCTCACGTGACAACCACAATAAACAATGTGAACTGCATGAACTGTGGCCATCAGACAACACTTGGTGTTCCCTATAAAAACAGTTTTAGAGAGAACATGTAATAGATCCATCATAGGCTAATGCTGATTCTAAAACAAACAGCCATCATATCTGCTCTTCTCAGGAGAGCCTTCATATTATGCTTGATCACCCTTCTCATCAGGCTAAATGCCTTTTAACCTTTATCGAATCCCTGATTGCAATTCAGGGCTGCACCAGTTGTAAACTCATCAGATTAATTCCAAGGGTGACAACAGTGTATGAAATGCTAAGTTACAGTACACTATAACCTATATGGTGGCAGGGAGATACTGTATGTCTGTAGGCTACTAGTGTGAGCCATGAACCACAGAATATTGCCTTCCTATTTACTGAGGGATATATTGATCTGCAGTGTTATCAGTGTTTCCTGTTCATCCTTTTCTTTCACTTGCAAATACATAAATGAAATGAAGGTTATAATGTAACAAGTGCACAACAAAGCTTTGGGTTCTGCACCACTAATCATTGCTTGGTGGGTGGTAATTGGCTCACATTAGCCTGTTGTATGCAGTTTTTGTTGTCCTCTGCCTCCTGTGTGGGTGTCAGCTCTGATTCTGTCTGCCTGTAGAAGGGTAATGGCAGTGACTTAATTGTGGCTCATCACTGCCATTCAGGGGGCACAAAGTGCTCATCATGTCTCCCCTCACATTATCATCATTCAAAGTACACATGCACTTTTTCTGCTGCAGGCTTCCTCAGGCAATTGTACACCTTCCCACCTGAGAAGTACACACTCTACACTGTTGGCCAATGAACAATGTGAGATGTTGAAAAACGTCCCCTAAGGTAACTGGATAACCGCCACCTCCGCACTGCTGCCATTACTGTCAGCTGCTCTTCTATTGCTCTGTTACTAATTCAGACAGCAGGCATTTCAAGGACTCTTACCAGCCCCCAGTCTGAAGATTGGTGTTTTCATAAAGCTGCAGTTGGAAATGTTTCTCAGATGCTGAAATAATTTCACATGCTCAAGAAAACTGGAAAGCCAAGCGTGTGTCTCTGGCTGAGAAAACTAAAGCACACACAACATTCAAGAGGAGACATTAGCCAAATGCAGTCTTATTATTGTTTTGATGGTTTAAGAGATTGAGTCCATTCTCTTCTGTGTGTTTGTTTCACACCTCCAGGCTCATCAAACCCAACACTTGCTTCTGTATTTTGTATCTGTAGTCACACAAACTAACCAAAATGTTGCCAAAAAAAAGACCATTTATCAAAATTCTTCCACTTTGACTAGTTTTTCCTTTTCAGTTGTACATTATTGTGTACAGATTACAGTGCCAGTGGGAGGAATCATGTTAGCTTCTCAAGAGATGAAAACTTGTAACTGTTGTTGAACAAAGCAGGATATTGTGGCACTGTAGCACAAACAGATCATGACTGGCAAAGCCTCACTGTTAGTTAGGATTTCTAGTTTTCTGGGTGATTTAAATCCCTGTGATCAGTGCTGATATACAAGTATGTTCATGGATTTACTTTAACTGTTCATGATGCGATGTGAAAGGCTGACAACAATTTACTGTGCATACAGAGTCAAACATTTGCATGTTCTCCCTGTGCCAGCGTGGGTTCTATCTGGATATTCCGGCTTCCTCCCACAGTCAACGTGTTGCTTAGGTTGAGTGGTGACTTTAAATTGCCCATAGGAGTGAGTGTGGGTGTGTGTGTGGTTGTTTGTCTACACGTCAGCCCTGTGATAGGCTGGTGACCTGTCAGCTTGGATAGGCTCCCAGCTGGATGGGTGGAAAACTACATGAAATAAAAGTAAAAATTTAATCAAAGCTGAAATCTGCTGTATTCATCACATAACAAAACTTCACTATATGTACAATATAGTGATAGAAAACATTTAATATCCTCTAATAAAATCTCCACAATGCTAGAGGAAGATCACTGACTGAAAGCCTGCTTCACTCAGTGAATCCTACACGTTGATGTGTACAGATGCTGTCTTCTTCATCAGAATCAAAATTGAAATAGAAATCTCAATAACTACCAATACACCATAAATCACAAACAAAGGCGTGTGGTTTCCTATATAAGATCACATCTCTGACAATCAGTGTGTGAAGGATGCAAACTGACCTGCTGTGTCAAATACAGGCTCATCTGTGTCAGGACAAACTGTTCCAAAATGGGATTATCTTGTTGTTCCCTGGAAACAAGCTGATCATTTCCTAGAGCAGCTCATATCACAGCTGTCTGAGTGTTCAGTGCTCCGGCTTGGGCACAGATCCTGGCATCATCGAGCTCCAGGATGTTGAACAGATCCAGCTCAAAGCTTTGATGAACCCCATTTGATCACATGCTCCACAGCAAATCACAGCTCCTGGGTTGCTGAAACACTTTCAAAACCAATTTCACAAAGTCTAACTGAAAAATCCACAGGTGTCAAGGTGAAAGTGCTGCTGAAATCTGTGTGTATTTACCCAACAGGAGGAGGAGGTGGTTAATTAAAGGTAAAAGGACAAAGAACAAAAGTTATTCCAAGTGAACTCTTACTATCATGGACTGAAAGATGCAGTACGAAGGTTTCCTTTAAAGGCTACAGTTTTGAAAATGACCACTGACAGTCACCAAAAAGCAGATGGTTATTACTTCTGGGCTACTGTTGTAAGATATTTCTTTTTGTCCAGAAACAGTATTTTATACCTCTGATTTTCTTCCTCGATTAACCAAAAGGTTAATGAAAAAATTGTGTTCATATACATCCACGTTTTCTTTTCTTGTGTGCTATTTTTAAACATAAAATCATGTAGTCTGCATAATGTGAAGCAGACAACAAAAGAGGTAACCCAGATCTGGCACAAGACATGCCACAGAAAAATTATGAATGACACAGTGTAATAAAACAGTTGCTTGTAATATGATATGATTTTCTGCATAAGGATTTAAGCCAAATACAGCTACAAGGAACTGCAAACTGACCGGATCAAATGTCAAATAGACACACACATCTGAGTAAAAACAAAACGATCGTTGCTACCTTTGTAATCGGATAAAACAGTCACCAAACAGTACCTCTGTGTGCTGCAATAATAAGGACCAGAGGGAATACAAAGGCAAAATGTGATTTCCTGTGAGACTCAGTAGGCTAATGAATGCTACTGGACACAGACCTCTTCACACTCCGTTATTCTGCTAAGGATCAGAGCTGCTACTGTGATAAGTTGTTTTCCTACTGAAATTTGCTGCAGGTGTTGTTGTGAATTTGTGTGTTTACCAAGATTCATGATATCTGGTATACTCAGTTGGTACTTAATTACACTTAATGTAACTAAAACAAATGTTTTACAGTCTAATTCAACAGTAACTGTATATAACATCCAACTAGCTTTACCAGCTGCAACATTAACTTGGGCTGCTGATGAACTGTACAGCGTTTTACAGACAACCTGTTTGTTATTTCACCTAGACTCACTGATACAAATGGGCATTATAATAGAAACTCCTGTCGACGTGATACTATACACATCAGTAGCATATTTCTATTGACCTCAGTGGTGGACAGTAATTAAGTATATTTAGTCAAGTGCAATTTTTAGGTATCTGTACATTTCATGTTCTGTTACTTCATACTTTTACTTCACTACATTTTAGAGGCAAATATTGTACTTCTTAACTCCATTATATTTATCTTATAACTTTAGTTACCAGTTACTTTTCATAAAGATAAGATAAAAGATACAGTATAATTATAAGACCTCACTGATCTATGGTGGGAAATTCACAAGTGACCCAGCAGATACTTAAATTAAATGTATATAAGTTGGTTAAAACTAGCTCCCCCCTTACCAGCTGCAACATTAAATGTGATGTACACAATAATGCATCAGTAATTATAATACAATAATATGAGATTTTCAGGAACATGTATTACACCATTCTGCGTAATGAATACTTGTACTTTTAGTACTTTAAGTAGGTTTTGATGCTAATACTTTTGTACTTTTATTTAGGTAACATTTTGAATGCAGGACTTTTACTTGTAAC